GACAGTTCCATCTCTGGAGACGACTTCAGTGAACACCAGCCCTCTGTGGACACTCAGTGATGGACTAGACAGCTGGCTGCAGGGTGGTTCATCAGCATGCATGGTGACCAGTGTCTGACGGACATTAGAATTCATTAGAAATTTTCCAAAGTCCCAGGAATTTCGTTCCATTCTTCCTCAGCAGCTGGATGATCAAGAGTTCCCCCACGCCCAGCGATGTTACCTAAGCATTTTGGGGGGTAGGGGAGACAAATAGGTCTGATGATCTGATGACAGATAAATGGAAGTGAGGTGTAAACTCTGCTTATGACCCAGCATAGATGTTCTGAAGATGCTATATGGGGGATTCATGAGAGCTGTGGGCACAGTTTAACCCCTAGTAACTATGGTGGGCCAAGGAATAATCATGGGTGTCTTGGGAAGTCATTAAGAAGTGGGGCAAGGGCAGAAAAGGCAAATCGATAGCTAGAAGGAGTGTGAAGGAATGATTGTATGCCAGGATCTAGTCCCTTGACTGCATTTCCTGCCTCAATCACCAGGGATGTCTTCACCACTGACCATGGGCTGAACTGGCATTAAGCTTTCTCCCTCGCTTCAGAGTCCCATGTTCCTATGGAAACCCACTCAACTTTCAAAGCTGAACCCTGCTGCTCAGCTGGTACTTCCACAGGAGCCATCCCCTTACCCCTTTCATGCTGACTCTGAGAGAGGGATATTTATTCCCAGTTATTACTTGAGATGAGGACATTGACGTTCAGAGGGGTCGCATGGACGGTTCAAAGGCAACATTCTGGTTGGGACCAGAACCCAAAGCTACAGCACATTCTACCCTATGCTACATGTGGGTCCAACTGATGCTCCCTTTCTAACGATCCAGTTCTGAATTGGATGTAGGCATGGTGAGCCGAATTAGACTACTGCGCTTCAGGCCTTTCTCACATAGCCCTGTCCATATGAGGACCCTCTCTTCTCACTAAGAATTGACCCCCGCATCCCAGAATCACATCCTAATATTCTTCTCAAGCTGGTCGAGAACAAGGCTGGCAAACAATTTCTGTAAAGGTCCAGATGGTCAATGTGTTAGGCTGTGGAGGCCATACAGTCTTGGTCACAGCTCCTCATGTCTGCTGTTGTAGAACGAAGCAGCTTAGACAGCATATACACAAGCGAAAGCGGCTTTGCCCCAGTAAAGCTTCACTTAAATGACATTTGAATCTCCTAGAGTTTTCATGTGTCAAGAACCATTTTTCTTCCTGATTGTTTTTCAACCATTAAAGAAAAGGGGGGCAGAAAATACAAAACCTCAGCTCATGGACCATACAAAACCAGGTTATAAACTGGATTTCACTGGTTGACCAATTTTTTGCCAACACCTGTCATAGGAATGTTGGTGATGACCATTTATTTACCTGTGGGTAAATTGTCTCTGCTCATTCCCTTAAAAGCATGTTGATTTAAAGCTTCCACTGCTGGTGAAAGCTTTGTCACCTAGAGGGATTTCGGGCACTGGTGACTGGGATGCAAGGGGTGGGGGAGGTAGCAGTGAGCGGATAGCTAGCTGCCTCTGCGTGAAATAAGGTCAGTCTTGCTGGGAGACTATTGTCTCTTCAGTGAAAATGTTAGATTTAAATCCCATATGCCATTTATCTTTGGGCTCTGTATAGAGAGAAAGGTCTTGCTTTGGTTTCTGTAAAAATACCAGGCTTAGATCTCTTTGTATGAGCTGTCATCAGCCATTCTGAGGGTTGATCCTGTAAATTCATGCTTTTTAGTGTTGGCAGAGGGATTGCTTTTGTTTTCGAACAATTTCCCGGTGTGTTCTTTTCAACTGGGACTTACATCAGGTTTCAACTTTAGCTCTACGTTTCATCTCTGATGGGTTTGAAGGACACGGGTCTTTGCCATTATGCCACAGAAGACTGCTTTAGCATCCTTTCTCTGTTTCAAAAAAAAAAATGATACAGCCAACTGCCAGTCATCCTCTGTATCCACGAAGACAGCATTACCAGGTGATCCACAGTAACCTGCCTGGGGCTTGGTCCATGGTTTCTGGATGGTCTTGAAGGGACTGCACTGTACCCACTCTTGGGTGTCCCCGGAGTGAAAACTTCCACAAAATATTATCACTATGTGCAGAATTTAGAAAGATGCACACTGTGGTAGTTACTTTCTTCCTTGCTGGGCTCTATTTTAGCTCAGGCTTCACAGTGGGCAAGGCATGGCAATATCCCACAGCTCTGTTGGTGGCAATGGGAACAGCAGGGGCCTCACTCACATCTTAGCAGATCAGGAAGCAGGGAGAGGCAGGGGGAATGAACCCAGGCCAGAGGCAGTGATAGCCCATAACCCTCAATCCCCACCCCTGCAGACCAATGTTGGCCAACTAGACTCCACAGCCTCCCTAAACAGTGCCACCAGCTGGAGACCAACTCTTCAAACACATGAATCTGTGGTGGATATTTTACATTCTAACCACAGTTACAAGAAAGGAAACGGAGAGACTGGCAGGGCTTGTTTCCCTAGCACCAGGCCAGCTTCCTTCTCAGCCCCTCCCTGCTGTAGGCTAGAGGCCCCATGAAGGACGCGGCAGCCAGGATTCTGTGAAGGGGCCTGACTTACATGGCTACCCTTCAAGAAGACCATCCCCCTTGTCAGCATCTCTTCCTAAAACGTTTTGATTATATTCCATTTTATCAGCAAGCAATAGTCATATGCTATTATTGTTTTAACTTAGAAGGTTCTTTAGCACCTCATTCCCTATTGGAGTGGATTTATTCTCTGGTTATTTCTCTCTGAGGTAATTCTGTGGCGATTCTGTTCTACTAGGGAAGTGACAGAGACCTTCGTTGCCATACTAAATACAGAAGTGAAGTGTAAGCACAGTCTTCCCTTGTTCCAAATTTAAGGCTAAAGACATTAATATTTGCCTTAAATATGATAACAGATAAAGCATCGTATGTAGTTTTTTTTCTTAAGGCATCCTTCATTAAGCTTCCATCCCAGTTTGCAAAAAATAAAAAAGTCAAAACAAAAAAATCAAAAAACAAATAAAACAAAACAAAAACAAGAAAACCTCACAAATAGATGCTGAATTGTGTCAAATGGTTTCAAGAAACCATTGAGAAGATCTGGATTTTTCCTGTTAGGTTATCTAAAGGGCAGCTGTAGAGAGACAGGAGGTAGAAAAAAAGTGACCTTAGGTAGCACCCTTTTTACTCACAGTGTAGGAGCATCTTTGTCACCCATATGTGTGGATTGCCAAAATGCCCACAGGAGAAGATGGGATGTGACTTCTTCTAGGGACAGAAATGGCTTCTGTAGTTTTCAGGGGAAGCTGGGAAATGTAGTCTTTCAGCAGGAAACTATCACACACACACACACACACACACACACACACACACACACACACACACATGTTTTTTAGTCTATTATCATGTAGTAAATTGTATTACTGGGCTTTCTGGATGTCAAAAGGACAAGTTCGTGGATTAACCACTGGGCTATGTTTCTTAACCTTCTGCTCTGTTCCTGCATTCAGTATTCTTACAGGGTCTTTGTGTTTGTGTTCACATGGAAGTGTCTGTAGTTCCTTGGTGTTTTTTTTTTTTTTTCTTCCAGTTTTGATGTCATGGCCCTGAAGGATTTATGAGCTGAGAAAATTTCCTCCTTCGTCTCTTTCATGAAGTAGTCGACACAGGACTGACAACCTCTCTTTTCTAAATGTATCCAGAACTTTCCAGGGAAAAATCTATGGCCATGAAGTTTCCTATGTCAAATTTTCTAATATTTTTGTGCTCCTTGGGCAATCTGCATCTCAAAAGGCATGTGAGTTTTTGTTGCTGCTTGCTTCTATTTATATAGCCCTCTGCATAAGCTCTGAGGTAAACACAGGGAATGTTTGGGTATTGCTCAGTTCACACAATCCCCGTATAAAGTACTCTTGGGAGAGGGAACCAGAGAACATTGCTAGAAAAGGTCTCTCCTGACATTTCTTATGGAGCCAAGGCTGGTGAGGACATCCAGCATAGCCTGCCGAGTTATGGTTCCAGAACACAGTTCCTGTCTCCTCAGACTCAGCTGGAGGACAACCATTCTATGGGCGATCAGGGGCCCTGTACTGCCCAGGCCTGCACTGCTGCTGCTCACAGCTGTGCCCAAACCTCTGTAGATGCTCTAAAGTCTTGATCTGGACTCGGCTGCACAGGCTTAGTAGTTACCCTCGTTATCTGTTGCCTGCCTCCTGAGGAAGAAAGCATCTTTCAAAGAGTTCCCGCTGAAGCCCTCCTTTTCCACCGGTATCTTTCTTTGGTTCTAAGTGTACCATGGCCAGGTCTCTCAGCCCAAATAGTGACTCTTTCATCATGGTTAGTATTCTGGACATGAGATTTCCCCCTGGTTAACCTACTGTGTGATTCCCATTGCCTAATTAGACCCAGACTGTTGTGCAAGAATTTCTGGTAAGCACCCTTTGCATGGAGACTTTTGTCACCTACGATTTTTATCCTCATTTTCATGATTAGTGGGAGACACTGCTATGCATTCACCTGACAGCCCCTCCCAATGTCAACCCCAATTAAAGCATCCAGACTTGATTTTTATTCCCTTACACAAGCAACGAGATGTCAGTGTATCACTTTGAGGAAAAAGCAATCTAGCCATCTTTATATTTTCATATAAACAAAGTGGGGAAAAAGCTCTCGAATTCAACTAAATAACCAGCCAACGAAGCAAAACTCCACCAACCCCCCACCCCAAGAGAAAAGCTCTCTATTGTAGTAGGGCCTTTGGCATGAATTTAAGTTTAGCATCCCTGGGAATTCTGGGAAAGCATTTTTCTTCATTGTTTTTCTAAGCCCCTCACAGCAGAGCTAGACTCCCCCAAACAAAGCAGCAGGAGAAGCCACTAACAATCCCCCAGATAACACAAATGAACAAAAATTGCCAAAATCATCGAGAAAGCGCTAAAAGCTGGGCTTGGATATTTTCTGCATGATCCCTACCGTGGTTCAGAAGTGCCTGCTTTAGCAATGCCCTGCACAGGGGAGTGGGGGTGGGGCACATCTGTGGAGAAAATAAATCACATAGCTAGTGTTTCCAACTTAGAAATGGCTCCTGTTCCAGGGGTTGATTTGTGAATCAGTGAGACTGGAAATCTATTTTTTCTTATGGAAATTAGCTTTATAAAAAATGATTTGCTTTCTTGGCCTATGTAATTAGTTTTTCTTTGAAAAAATTAAAAAAATAAACTGCATTGTTTCCTTCATTAGAACTTACGACTGTTTTACTTTCATATTTCTGAGTAATAAGTAATTCCAAAGCTCACAGCTTAAAACAACAACCCTCTATTACCTCATGGTGTCAGGAATATGTTTGTGGCCGAGCTGAGTTCCCCAGGTCAGAGTCCCTCAGGAAGCTGCTATGTGTCGTACCTTGTTGGTGTCACTCATGTGACTTTTCATAAGGCTTTAGGGTCTTGTCACCTGGGCCTCCTCTCCTCATCACGCGGCCTCAGATGCCTCCAATTGTGAGCCGCCCAGGAGAGAACACTTAAGACAGATGACAGTGACTACCCGTGTTCAGAGCTGACCTCCCGTCATTCCCACTGTGTTCAATCCAACAGCCACCACCAAGCCTGGCTCACACTCAGGGGAAGGGCAGCCAAGCCCTGCCTCAGAGTAGAGCAGAGAAGTTGGGGGCTATGCCCTTGGGGAGCACCTGTCCTCAAGCTCATCAACCCCACCAACACTGAGTTTTCAGGTGACACCACAACCTGGTTGGCACCAGGGTTCCAGCTTTCTGAGAGACACTGAGCTCCATACCCTAACATAGAACTGGGCTTTGGAATTGGAAATGTGTGCTGCTTCCAAATGATGGTTGTTCTAAAGCAAGTGATTTCTGCCCAAAGCTGGGACAGAATCTGTTTCCATCAGGCCTGAGATTTGTTTCTATAGTCAGGTTAATAGCTGGGCAGCTTGGCAAGTTATCAGCATGGAGGGTGTTTTCTTGATGCTACATGGGAGAACTTAGAATGTATTCTCTCACTGCAAAAATATTTCATAAATAGTGACCAGAATCATGGGGCAACGGTAATGTTGAAGACTCATTACTGGATAAGTAGGCCCATGTGCGTGGCTCACCACAACACATGCTAGCATGTTCATAGGAAATGTGGTCTGTGGCCCAGGCCTTATAAACTTGCTTTCAAGGTAGGACTCATTTTTAAGTTGGGGACTTACCTGTGTTCCGTTGGCTGTGTCCCAGAAACCTTCCCCCATAGTTGTTTACACTCTGAGCTGGGGACAGGATGGTGGCAGAGAACACTGATTGCTTTAATTTATGATTTGTACTAAGAACCAGGCAAATCTATCAAGCTGTAAGTCTACTCAAAATCAGATTTTCTGTTGGGCCTGTACTAACTCCCTTTCGTAGCTGGGGTTTGACAGGTCACAGCTCCATCTTTGGGGCTGTAGTGCATAAATCAGGCTTTTCCAAATCCCTGGTCCATTTTGGACCCCATCAGGCATATCTGTATGGAAGCTGATGGCCCTGCAGAGACAGACATCAGTTTGGACCCAATGTAGGTCCCATGGACGGCTCCTGCCTTTGTCTTTCTTGAGTCCTGCATTTTTAAATGCTGACCCCATTTCATTCAGCAGAGGCCCAGAAAGTCATTAGGATATTTTCTGAGAAGTGACCATCACTAGAATCTTCAAGTGTTTGCTTGAACATACCTACAAGGAAGGTAATGGACACTTAGTACTTTTGCCCTTAACTCTGTCCCTTCATGCAGTTGGATGTCCAGACCCATGTGTAGAAAGCTTAGATGTTCTTATTAGCATAGAAAGGCAAGTAAAAATGACCACAAAAGGTCCTTCTGTGTCACTTCTAGAACCATGGTTGAAGATTTTTTTATCCATTATGTTTCTCAAGATGGTTATGTACTTAGTTATCTCACTTCTCCTAACCAGTCATGAATGCACCCTGCTATGTCTCCTAAGACAGTGTCTTCAGAGCAGCCAATTCAAAGGTGCTCTGACTCCAGGAAGAGTTGATTCTAAAGATGTGTGTGTGTGTGTGTGTGTGTGTGTGTGCGCGCGTGCGCGCGCATGTGCGCGCGCCTGTATGTGTGCGTGCATGAATTGTTTTTTAAAGCAAACTTCAGTGTGTTATACATACTTTCCTCCCTTGTTCCATATGAGGGTGCATTCTTACACCAAAGTTACACTAAAGATTTTTTTACAGCAGAACGTTGCTGGTGCTCTTTTTATATGCGACCCCTGCACTTAGTGTTTACCCATGAGCAAAGATCCAGTGTCTCACTTGCAGGTCAGTCCCACCTCTTTGTCAATGCTTTATTCTTCTCAGCATCTTCTTTCTTCCTTCTGATCTCCCAAAATAGACAATGACTTCAGAAACTAGGAGCCTCTTGATTTAACAGAGGTCAACTGTACAAAGCCAGCATTGCGTTTGGACCCCCCACTATTTGTCTTCCTGAAAAATCACAAATTTTAGCTGCATCTCTTTCGTTCTCTGTGTGAAGGGGAATGGGTGGAGATGAATTTGCTGTGAGGTTTGTACCGATATAGTCTGCGCTTCCAGCACAAAGTAATGTCAGAATGCTTTTCTTGTGGAAGAATAGCAGCCATAGAGCCAACCAGACCCACTCTATCCATAACTAAGTGGAATGCTGCCTCATACTGCCAGAGACACTGTGCGGAAGGGGGTTATCCGCCGGAACAGATTGCATGGGAGAGGGCTGGGCTCCATAGGCTCAGCTGAGTAGCATCAGGGTGACCATTTATCACTGTCAAGAGAGGGGGGGTGGGGGTGGGGAGTCATCGGACCACTGTTGCTCAGCTGCTGACTGACAACTGACAGCACCATATACCACCTTCATGTGCCATCAAGGGAAAGTGTAGTTACCTGCTTGAGCTGCTGGCATGTTCACGGAGAAGAAAGACAAGATCAGCAGAGTGCTCTGGGGTGTCAGTGGACTGGAAGTTGCCTCCTCTGCAGTATAGTGTGAAACTGCTAGTGGAATCCGAGTTCAGTATGTACCAGAAGCACCGGTTAGGCTCCAAGGAAATAGCGTGCCTGGTGATTGGATGAGAGGATGCCTCTGAGGTTTGTGTACCTTTATTACATTCCAAGGACTTGACTATGCTGTGAATCTGTTATTTTAATATGCCCAAATTGCTCCCCCTGACAAATACCAGGGAGAAAGTGGATAACTGCATCAGCTATATACAAAGGCCATAAAGCAATGCATACCAGCAAAGCTCAGCCCCTACTAGTCTTAGAAGACACTTTTAAAGAAATATTCGAAGTATGATTCTCCATCTTTTCTCAAAGATATGTTTGCCACGCATATTAAAATCTACACTGTGCTTTAGAAGCCATCAGACATAGAGACACGTTAGTGTGGAGGGAACTGGTCTTGACTTACTCCTGTATGGCCAGCATTTTCACAGTTCCATTTACAAGGAGTCCTTCAGGCTGAAACACAGATTTTAATCCATGAAGTAGCTTTATTTTGAATGCAGTCTGTACTCTCAAGAATATGTTTTTTAAATGTGTGTATGTATGGATATGTGCATGCCTGTGTATATATAGTACGTATCTTTATATGTCACACACACACACACACACACACATACACACACACATTGTTAGGTTAGAGGTTAGCATAACTATGTTCCTCTATTGCTCTCCAAATTACTGTTTGAGACAGAGCCTGTCACAGAACCTGACATTCACTGATTGACTAGACTGGCTGGCCATTGAGTTCTAAGAATCCACCTATTTTTCCCCCTTCCCCCTACCCATCACTGATGTGAAACCAATACAGATGGGCACAACCATGCTTGACTTTATATGTGTGCCAGGCATCTGAACTCAGGTCCTCATGTTTGGATGGCAGGCACTTTACTGAGTCATCTCCCCAACTCCAAGATGATCTGATCTGGATAGTCATTAGGAATTACATGTGTTAATGAGGGGGGATTTCATGAAGTCAAGACATTTCCATCCTATAATATTATATGCATTCTCAAGTGCAGTAGTTAGCTGTGGTTCAGTGTGGTGGTTAATAAAAATATCACCAAAGCGAAATGCTCCAGATGAAAGGGATGATGATGGAATGCATTTTCTGGGGTTATTGGGTAAGCCTGGGAGCTTGGGTGCCCTGGGGACTGTACCAGTACAGGGAGCTTTAAGAACCACAGCTTGCTGGGGTACATGGATATGACCAGCAGTCCTGAGGAGGGTGCTGGTTGCGCTAGCTGATGAAGGGTGATGACAGGGAAGACACTTCATCTTTCTCTTGTATCGCTGACATAAAGCACAGAGCCTGGCAGAGAGCCAGCAACCCATAAGCTTCCCAACTTGCTTGGCTAGAGGAAGAGTTCCTCTGCTGTGACATGCCATGTAGGGGTGGTCCTGTGCCTGCCCCCCCATGGACCCCCATCAACCTTCTTCATCCTTTCTGCACATGCCTGCCTCTTCAGATTATGAACTAATGAACTTATCAGCCCTGCCCAAGTCTGGTGCAATGTCTCTGTCCCCATCAGACAGAAGCAAATAGCCTGGCCACCCATCTGTTTCCATTGCTAGTCCCTGAGCAGCTGAACTCTCATCCCTTATCATCCCTAGTTCATGTTGCCTGGATCCTAGAGAGGAAGGACCTGGTGAATCCTGACAGGAGGGGCAGGCAGCACACGGACCTGCTGGTAATTTCCATACAGACAGGCCTGCTGCCTTCTCTGTCCATGAGACTGAGCCCAGAAGAAAACATTTTGATTTTTAAAATACTGCTTTTTAATGTTTCCCTTTTGTTTTTAGTTGACTAAATATCAAATAAATGCTTCTCAGGATAACAACAAGTAAAACTAGAGTCCACAATTGTGTGGTGAAGGACGAAAAATCCCCTGTAATCTAGCACATAGCCACTGTCCTGATGTCATTTTTCTGGGCCTTCGTCCTTTCCTTATTGAGTAGAAGCTGCACAACTTGCTCTCCTAGCCCTATTCTTGTTGTTGTTGTTCTTCTTCTTCTTTTGCTTTTTTTTTTTTTTTTTTGAGACAGGGTTTTCTGTGTATTGGCTCTGGCTGTCCTGGAACTTGCTTTGTAGACCAGGTTGGCCTTGAACTCACAGAGATCCACCTGCCTCTGCCTCCCGAGTGCTGGGACTAAAGGTGTGCGCCATCACTACCCGGCACCTAGCCTTATTCTCTTCACTTTGTGATGCCACAGGAAAACCACATATGATAATACTTTAGAAATGACTGTGTAACCTTCTATCTCAGAATGTCATAACTTTTTGTTCTTATTGTTGTTAGTCATTTCCCCAAACACTATAGCCACAGTCTCCAAGAACAAAATGCCAAAAGTCGATAGGACTCCAGTGCCCATGGGCATGCTTGGCTAGAGACTATCCTCTCTTCTCCCCCAGGGTCCTTGTCTCACATCTGAGTGACATACCAACTATCCTTGATGTTGTGGAGGAGACCGGAGGCAGGATCCAGTCAGTGTTTTGGAGGGGCTCCTCCCCTGAAGATGGAAGAGACTAGTTCAAAATTAGGTTGGGTGATCCGGAGAAGGAACAGTGAAGAGTTAAGGGGAGGGATTGGGAGACTCTTTTGTTTTGGGATGTCAGAAGACTATTCTTTCCATCCCAGACCCAATGAGAATATTGATCACCATTCTCATTAGAAACTGGGGTGCATCAGCTTGGTACAACCTAGAATCACTTCAGAAGGGATCCTCAATTAAGGCAGGCATTAGTTAGATGAGATTGTTGTGTGAGCATGTCTAGGGGTTGTCTTGATTCTTGATCACAGTGAGAAGACTGTTTCATGGGCTGGGCCCTTCACCATGTAGGAGTGAAGAAAGCCAGCAGAGAGCTCACTGGCAAACAAACAAGTAGAAGCTTGCATTTCTCCCTGTTCTTGACTGTGTTAATCCCACCGGTAAGAAGACTACTGCCACCGTTTTTGAGCCAAATGTGAAGCAAGCTTCATTAAATACTGGCCAGGACTATGGGCACTGGCCAGTGCCATACCTGGTATTCCCAGAGAATGGTGGCAAATTACACTAGTCAGGTGCTTATAAAGGCAAAACCCACAAGACTACATACTTTCTGCCTTTGTTCAATAGGAGGCAAGCATACATCCTGAGGTACTTCCTCTCTACATACCTCCTGCTTGCATGTAATCGAGCACATCCTATGCTGTTGAGGAAACCGATCTTATTTAAGGAAGTGAAAACACGGGGCTTGTTATCTTATATGAACATCAACCCCCAGCATTCCAGGAAGTGGGGCTTATAGGTTAGAGGCATTTTTGTTTTATTGATCTCTTAAGTACAGTAATTTAAACTTAAAATGTAACTTCAGCCCTCACATGTAGATGTGATTTGACCTGTTGTCTCAAGAACTTGACACTGAGACTGCCCTACAGTGAAGTAATATAACCTGGAATTATAAGTCAAATCAATCCCCTTCCCCCAAATTGCTTTTATCAGGATATTTTGTGTGGATGAGGGTATTGTCACAACAAAATAGTTTCTACCACTTAGCATTTTGAAGGTCTGGAAACATAGAGTAAGAAAGGAATTTCTCACTGAATGTGGTGACATTGGGAAGCAGATGGCTTGTCTTCTAAATCCTGTGTTTGGGAATATTGACAAGTGCTTGAGGAATGGAATGAGGTCAATTGCATACAGTCTGGCAATCGGTAGATCATGGTATGGCTGATCATCATTTCAGGTCTGGTTCTGTGAGAATAGTTCTCATATTGCTCAATCTACTCATTCAGTTCTCTACATTAGATGACTGCTCTTGTGTTTGAGGATAGCTTAGGTCACTCATCATGGGATAATTGTTACTCATGGAGTTACCTGTCTGCAAGAGTCAGCATTCCTGACCACTCAGTATCTCCATTCCTGAAGAAGGTAAGAGATGTTAGGCAAACTTGAGGGGAACCAGCTTTATGTTACCAGGTCTGAGGCAGTCACTAGATGATCCATGTGATGATGTGTAGGGTTGAACAGGAATCTGCCTTAAAGGTTAATAGTTGGCAAAGGAGACGACACAAAATGGAGGCGTAGATGCTAAACTCTTGTCCTGCTTTCAGCTTTCAGACCTTTTTCCTCAATGTCTGTGGTCAGAAGTGAGGTCAGTACTTGTGGCAAGTTCTTTTTGCAGTCATAGTCAGGTCCAAAGCGCTCTGCCTTGTGGGAACTCTGAGTTCCAGTGGCTGAGCAGGACTTCCAGGACAGCAGCCATTGTTCTTAGACACTCTAACTGGGCAATATCCCATTGGCCAGTCAGTCAGGAGGAGTTTGAACCCAGGAGAAGCCTAAAGGGTGGGGCCTCTTCTCCAGCCTCCATTTTCCTGCCACCTGCCATGCTCTTCATTCATAAAATACAGGTTTTAGCTATCATAATTTAAATATAAGCCAGGAGACTTAGGGCTGGGTGGTTATGTTTGGGTCTGAATTACTGCAGACACCCTATTAGGCAGTGTTTGTTGTCCTTTGTTTAAGAAAGGAAGCACCTTAGACTTTCACAGAACAAAGTCCAATGGCATCAGTGTCTTCTCCTGAAGCCTTGAACATGTCCCCTGAGCCCCTTTCAAAATGCCTGCCAGAGCTGACTCTTACCCTTGCTTACATTAACCTCTGTGCTCTTCAACCAGAAGGCTTTCAGAATAGATGAAAATTCACCCCCATCCTTATATACCCTTGACAGAGGACACATCATCACCATGAGCTGCACACATGGCTTTGGAAGGGCCCCCACTGAGCAGGGAGCAGGGGCAGGAATATGTGCTCAACCAGCCAGATTGGAGGCCACTACCCTGCTGTGACTGGGACACAGATGTCTCTGCCTGTCACCCCTCCTGTCCTTCCCTGAAGTAATCAATAGTGAGGGCCCAGCTAATATGTGGTTTTTCTGTTTGGTGAGCTGGCTGATTTCTTGTGGCTGATTTTCGAGTATAAATTTGTGAATCCTGCCAATTACAAATGCCCATGTCACCCCCAAATAGTTAACCAACAGTATGTTTAAAGGATGTCCAACAGTATCTCTTATAGGG